GGCAAGACGCTACCCTTTATACGCATCCGACACAAATCCGAAGACTACCTTAAAGCAGAGAAGGAATAGTTAGACGAGATGCTTAAGAAAGGCTGGGTCAGACTATCCAAATCCCTAGTAGGAGCACTATGTATAGCGGTACTAAAGAAGAATAGAAAGATTCGGATCGTTACAGATTATAGACGACTCAACGAAATCACTATTAAGGACCGCTACCTATTACTAAACATCGGTGAGCTATACGACCGATTGAACGGATCCAAATAGTTTACTAAAATCGACCTCAGAGACGCATTCTACTCAATTAGAATAAAAGAAGGCGAAGAATAGAAGACAGCGTTCCTTACGTCGAGAGGACTCTATAAGTTTCTCGTGATACTAATAGGACTTACAAACGCCCCAGCAACACAACAAAGATATATTAACGACCTCCTCCGAGACCTTCTCGACATTACCGTTGTCGCCTACGTAGACGACATCCTTATCTTTACGAAAGGAGACAAGGAACAATACGTTAAGGACGTTTAGGAAGTCTTTAAAAAACTCTCTAAGTCCGACTTCCGAACCGCGCCAGAGAAATGCGAATTCTACAAACAAGAAGTCGAGTTCCTAGGAAACATTATAAGCACAGAAGGCTTCCGACCGGACCCAAAGAAGACACAATCGATTACTAATTAGCTAACCCCGACTACCGTTAAGGAAGTACAAGCCTTCCTCGGCTTAGCTAACTACAACCGAAAATTTATTCAAGGATTCTCCGCGATCGCAGCGCCGCTTACGGAGTTGACGAAGAAGGACTATGCATACCAATAGACCGAAGCATGTCAAGCAGCCTTCGACGCCGTTAAACAACGAATAGCGAACGCCGGAGAACTCAAGATGTTCGACCCGGAGATTCCGATCCAGATCGAGACAGACGCTTCAGATCTCGCGATAGGAGCATGCCTTACACAGGAACACAACGGAACCAGGATGCCTATTGCATACTACTCCAGAAAGATGGGACCAGCAGAACAAAACTACGATATACACGACAAAGAGTTACTGGCAGTCGTTGTTGCTTTATAGCAATGGCGGATCTACGTGGCAAGTGCGCCTGAATGCACGGTATTTACTGATCACAAAAACCTGCTCACGTTCACTACCACGAAGGAGCTCAACAGACGACAGGTCCGATGGGCCGAGCTCCTTGGACAATACAAGTTCAAGATTTGCTACACGCCAGGCAAAGACAACGGCCGCGCAGACGCCCTCAGCAGGAGGAGCGATTACATGAAGGAGAAGGCAATATTCAATCAGAGCATACTACGACGAAATGCTGATGGGAGCCTCTCGCCGAATGTGCACGAAATCAATGCCATCGCGCGCATTGCAGAAGACGACACAGAAGAATTCACGACAGACGAAAAGGTCAGGATACCTCCAAACCTGGAAAACGACTTAATCTCACGACACCACGACGACGCGGTCAGTGGACACGCAGGTATCGAGAAGACGCTCGAGCAACTGCGAAGAAAATACACCTTTCCAAAGATGAAAGAAAAGGTGACACAATACATCAGAAAATGCAGCTCATGCAAACAAAACAAGAATGAAAGACACGCAGCATATGGCACAGTACAATTCTCAAAGCCACCAGAACAACCGTGGCAAGAAATTACGATGGACTTCATTACAGACTTACTAGAATCAGAAGACACAGCAAGCGGAAGATGCTACAATGGCATTATGGTTGTGGTTGACAGGCTGACGAAGTACAACCACTACCTGCCATACAGAAAAGACTTCACGGCGGAACAAACTGCAGCTACGCTGATTGACAGAGTCTTTAGGATTCACGGATTCCCTAGGAAGATTGTGACAGACAGAGACAAGCTCTTCACATCTAACCTTTGGAAAACGTTTGTTGCTAAGATTGGAACTAAACATGCTATGTCTACGGCATTCCATCCACAAACAGATGGACAGACTGAGAGATCCAACCAAACATTGGAAGCCTACCTTAGGCATTTTGTTAGCTACCAGCAAGATGACTGGATGACATACCTGCCTATGGCGCAACTTGCAATCAACAATCAAATGTCATCCACGACACACCAAACGCCATTCTGGGCGAACCATGGAAGGCACCCAGATCTGTGGCAGACAGAGCTGCCAAGTGTTGAAGCAGCATCGGGCATCGACATTGCCAGAAAATTACAAGAAGCCTACAAAAACATGACAACATCGATTACAAAAATGCAATCAAGGGTGGAAAGCAAAGAATCCACATTCAAGAAGAATCCTCAGCTGAAAGAGGGGGATAGAGTCTATGTGCTTACAAAAAACTTTGGCACAAAGAGACCATCCAAAAAACTTGAC